AGAGAGAGAGAGAGAGAGAGAATAGAAAATTTTAAAGTGAAAGATATTTATAACAAAATATTAGATTAATTGTGTTTATGACGAGAAAGTTTGAATGCTTTATGGATAAAATTAATGTAAAATATTCCCACCCTTTGGTAACCTTGACATTGGGTTACCTTTTCTCAGTTCACTTCTCGGTGTGTTGTCTCCAAAAGAAATATTTAGATGTGAATTACATAAACCCATGCCTACAATGTATTACTGGTTGTACACTATGTGTCCCAATGTGTTCTCAATTCCGCATTTCCTATAAAAAGGGTTAAAGGAATGGACGAATGGAAGCAATGATGGGGCGAATGAATGATATAATTGTGAGCAGAAGGGGTTGAAGGGAACCATAGGCTCCCACTACACACTCTCTTCTCTACCCCAATGCCAATATTGAGCTTAAATGCCAACAACAGTGCAATGGATCTCTCGCTCTCTCTCTACTTATTTATTTATTTACTTTCTTTCTGTCTTTTTTGATGTTATATAACGTGTGCATATAATTCATGATATATTAATTTTTATAAATTAAATCCTAGAGTTTAGGATCATTTACCACTTACAATTGATTGATAAATTACCATAGCGTTATTATTATTGTTTTTGCATAATTTCATTATTAACAAATTGCTATTTTTTGACAAATAAAAATTATGGTTAGTTTTTTCATAAGCAATTTATTCTATTTTTGTATTAATTAATTACTGACACAATCACTACATTTGGAAATGTAATGTATTGCTTATATTTTTATAGATTTTTACGGTAATTTGTGTATTACTTTTTATTTAACAGAATTTACATTATTTTTAAGTTAACTGTAAACAACATCAAAGAGCAAATGCAATATATTAAAAATATAAAGTTTAATATTTATTGATTGTTTTCGAGGATATTGGGAATATTATTGTCATAAACTATAAAAATCTATTTCATAGGCACTGCAAAGCTTTGACTTGTTTTATATAGTTTTGTGATATAAAGGGCGGACTATGAATACAGTGGTGCACATACAGTACCTGTCCTTTCACTTGAAGTTTTTTCACCTTTTTTCGATTATGTTTGGGCTCTCATTCTCCCCTCTATTCTCCCACTCTTCTCCACTTTCTCCCCATTTCTTTCAATTCTCGCTCTTTTATATACAAAGATATTCTTACGTTTTAAGCGTCAAAACAAATACATTTTGCAATTCATTTTTAGCAGTGATTCAAAGTCTTGAATAAATATAAGAAAAGATCATTAGAAGTGATTTGAGTACTTCTTAGAAGTAATATTTAGCCAAACCATACTCTCTATGAGTATAACCGCATGTCTTATGCACTCAGTTCTTGGCCTCAACTTTATTTTTTAAAGTTTTATTTGCTTTTGAATAAAATTAAAGTATGAATAATCTTTGAATTAGTATTGATTTGAATTTGAATTATGCTCTAAATGTTTGTCTCAAAACAATTATTTAAATATTAATTATTAGATGTCACCGAAAGTTAATAATAATAATTAAAATTAACGTTAGATTAATGCAAATAAAGTGGTAATGATATGAATGTGTTGATGTATTTGTGTGAACAGGTAGACGAAGAACCGAGTGGTTGCACTATCATTGATGACGATTACATCAAAGGTATTAAACAACATATGAATCTTTAATTTTCAGTTCACTTTCAAACATATTTATCATTTATATTAATTCAAACTAATATAAGACAATCCCTAAGGCTTTTGACATAAAAACATAATATTTCTTGTATTGATTAAAGGCTTTTGCATTAGCTTTATAAATGAGCGTAGAATTGACATTAATGTTAGTGTTTTTGTATAGAGTATTACATTATTATACAATTCTTACAGCATTAATTTGTTAGTAGACATAAAATTATTAGAAATAGTACATAGTAGTGTATTGTGTAATGAGTATTATCTTATATCCGGTCACTTCTAGAACGCATAGAGAGTAGTGTTAAATAAAGGCAGTTGTGATAGGAATGGTGCTGTGAGAGGTGCACAGATGCCCATCGCTATAATAGATGAATGCCAGTCAATTCATTCTCTAATTTTTTTATTTCCTTTATTCACTTTTTTGGACGTATAGGTGCTGTGCCTGAGATAGGATTCAAGGGTAAGCAAAAAATTACACAATTTTTTTCTAATTGATACACATATGGAATAAAGAAGAAGGGTTTAGGTGTGTAAAAAAGTAGTGTTTGAATGGGTGTACTGTTTGATAGGCAGGCATACCATACCCTTCTATCACTTAAAAAACGGATGCAATACTCTGTTAAGCTTTTTCTCAAAGTTTTTTCTTTAGAACAAAAAATAGGTTTTGCTTTGAAGTTAGAGAAGACTGTGAATGCTTTTTATTGATAATCCTTTGAGGTTTTAGGCAATGATTTTTTATGAACATTAAAAAAGTCATTACATATTCAAAAAGTAACCGAAAAACATATGGCACTAGAAATGCGATGAAAAAACACTATTAATTTTTGTTGTGTGCACTGAAATGCTGTATTGAAAATACCTGCTAATGTTGGACTGTTTGCTGAATCAACTGATAAGACACGGCATCTCTCAAGAAGTCACTGCGTTGTGGCTCATCATCAATCCAGTGCCATATGAGCCCATACTATACACTCTATGCCATACCATACCCACCAAAAACACTACAATCTAATCGATTTTTAAATGATTGCTCCCTCTTTTCACGACTCATTACCACTCTTTAACTCACAAAATGATTCCCTAAATCTGCAAATATATCCAATATTTGCCTAAATTTATATTCTATACATTGCTTCTCATCATTTTATTTAAGCAAATAATGTGTAATTCATTTCCAATTCTAGTGTCTATAGTATTCTTATCAGTCAAACGAGTCAAACACCAGTCAAACCTTTATTTCAATTAATTTGCAGTCAACCAGACCTCCAGACTCTTCACACGAATTGCATTTCTAGTAGTTTTTAGGATTTTATCTCATTTTTAATTTGTATCATATTTTAGGAACACAACTCCAAAACCACTAAAATCTCAATTAAAACAATTAATTGCAATTTATTGTAAGTATTTTCTAATTTATTAAAACAAATTTCACTGTTATTCACTCGCAAAACGTATGAATTATTGTAATGTTTTCCTATAATTTTAATAAATAATAAAATAATTTGATAGAAAATTTCAATAAAAAACAACTTTTATTGTAATAAATATTTTGGGAAAATATTTTAGTTTTTGTGTCTCGACTTCATATCAATCCGAGACGATATGAAAAGCAGTAAAACGTAAATACTTTTGTCTCAACTATTGGTCGCATTTACTATCGCTATTTAAATCAAATAAAGTAATTAACGGCAGGTTTTTGTGGCCTTTTTGCCCAAAAAAGTGGAGTAAAAATAAACTTGTATTGAATGATAGGAACGAACTTTGAGTTCGCCGTTCGTTCCCAGTGTTGTTGAAGTTATCTTTCTTTGGAAGCATAGACTCCATTGTGAATTTCAAAAACTTTGATTTTCATCCAAAATCCAATATACCCTTTATTTTTTAACTCATTGTTTTTATTCACATTTAATGATCTGTAATATTTGAACTATAATTCTTAGACCAATTCACAGATTTTAGTTTTTTTTGTAAATTAGATCAATATATAAATATCAATGCATACATTGCTGGATATGATTCTCATTTCTGGCTTTTTATCGTCCATCGGAAGCCTGTATTTCAAATGAGTTACTTAAGAATCTCTCTCTCTCTCTCTCTCTCTCTCTCTCTCTCAACTTGTTTTATTATCTTTGATTGCTCTCTGATTTATAAAATGATTATAACCTAAAAACGTGTTATGATTTCCATAGACTAGTAGAAAAGTTAAGATCAGTTTTCTTAAAATTTATTCCGAAATAATTTTGAACCAAGAATTTTAACTTTAATTAATTGAAATGAATTGCAGACAATTTCATATCATTCATTGCATACACCATTTCAGTTTTAGTTTTATTCTAATATAATTATAATATATAAATAATAAATAAATGTATAAAATGATTTTATAGAATTTTGGACTAAATATCAAATAATATCAATAATAACACATGTTTTGTTAGATACAGTATTAGTGAAGAAAATATATGCTTATTTTTATTCAAAGATACAAAAATTGTTTATAAATATATTTATTTAAAAAATAAAATTAACGAGTAATTAAATAACTTATGAATCATAGGACAGACATATTATGATAACTTAGATTTACAAGAATTGTATAAAATTAAGAATTAATAGATATTAATAATAAAAAGGTATACAATTTAGTTTGAATTAAGAAGTATTGGAGGTATTGGTGCTTATGTTGGTCTGAATGAGAGGTAAAGGGTTGCACCGATCACTCCATCCCAGTGGTGGTCCTTAAGACCATCTAAAGGAGGAGTTAGTGATTGCATAAGAGTTAGCTATAACTCTAACTTTAATGCATTCTTCATTCGATGAAATCCATGTCGTAATAGATTTAGTAGTTCTCACACTTCGTGACCAACTGTTGATTTTTTGCACTCTTTTTCTCCACAAATCCAAACATCTCATCAAACCTACGATTTTTACAGTAAAACAAATGTTGGACTGCAATGGCTTTCAAGTAAGTCAATATCTATCATAAATATTTTGTTTTCTAACAAAAAACTATCAAAAAATTTATTAATGCGATACCAAACTCTTGGTTACTGTTTATTTTATCTAAACTTTCCGTTGTTTTAAAAGTGCAAAAACTTTTCTTATTTTGTAGTCAAAGTAACGTTAAATTATTTTAGAGGGGTTTTGATCATATGGTCACTTGCTATGGGTTTCCATTATTTTCATTTATGTAATGATTATTAGTAATAATTTATTATATACCATTTATCAAACATTTGTTATTAACTGGTAAATCCCTAAACTGTGGTTCAGTCACACAAAAATAG